ACATACATACATACATACATACATACATACATACATACATACATACATACATACATACATACATACATACATACATACATACATACATACATACATACATACATACATACATACATACATACATACATACATACATACATACATACATACATACATACATACATACATACATACATACATACATACATACATACATACATACATACATACATACATACATACATACATACATACATACATACATACATACATACATACATACATACATACATACATACTCCTATAACACTTTCTTGTTTTCATATCTTGGTTGGGTTTGCGAAAAGACGTAGGCATGCATGTAGAAAAGATTGCTTTCATATTTGCATGCTAATACTTCAAGTAGACAAGCTGCTAAAAGTGCCAGTTTTCCACGAATACATATCCCCCTGTTTTTATTATATTGCCAGTCTCAGGCTGTTGATATCTTCAGCTTGCAAATGTGGTTATCTGAGTGTATCGGCAGTAGTCGGGTCTGCCAGTGTCTAGTATCGCACACTGTGATATTCTCTGGGGGACCGCCAAACCTAGCAGTACTAACAGGATTGAATGTGCCACTGCTCGCGGAGATTGCATTAATCTACAAGAGTGTCTTTTTGAATAAGTTTATTCGTAACTTCGGCATCGGTGGTTTCAATACTGATTTCTCCAGCTTTATATTGCTTTCGGCATCATCATTATCATCATCATTATTATCATCATCGTCATCATCTCTTTCTTTTTCTTCTTTTTTACTTCTTCATCTGTTCTTCTTCTTCTTTTTTTTTATTGTACTTGTCTAACTGTAATTTCAGCTTCACTGGTTTTAATGCTTATTTCTTAAGTCGCGTGTTACAGTTCGCCTTCTTTTCCTCCTCTTTTTTTTTCTTTTCGTCGTCATCGTCTTCTTCTTCTTCTTCTTCTTCTTCTTCTTCTTCTTCTTCTTCTTCTTCTTCTTCTTCTTCTTCTTCTTCTTCTTCTTCTTCTTCTTCTTCTTCTTCTTCTTCTTCTTCTTCTTCTTCTTCTTCTTCTTCTTCTTCTTCTTCTTCTTCTTCTTCTTCTTCTTCTTCTTCTTCTTCTTCTTCTTCTTCTTCTTCTTCTTCTTCTTCTTCTTCTTCTTCTTCTTCTTCTTCTTCTTCTTATTCTTCTTCTTCTTCTTCTTCTTCTTCTCTTCTTCTTCTTCTTCTGCTTCTTCTGCTTCTTCTCCTTCTTCTTCTTCTTCTTCTTCTTCTTCTTCTTCTTCTTCTTCTTCTTCTTCTTCTTCTTCTTCTTCTTCTTCTTCTTCTTCTTCTTCTTCTTCTTCTTCTTCTTTGTAGACTACATATTCTACTTCATCTTCTTCTTCAACAATTACTACTGCTGCTGTCCCTACATCTCCTTGTCTGTATTTATTCTCATGCCATAACTCTTTTAATCGCAGAGAGCCGAATGTTAAATTAATAAACGAGTAGGACTAGGTTAAGAGCCACAAGTTAAGTAAAACGGATTATAGTAAGACATATGTGTGTCTGCTTGTGCACACATGCTTGCGTTTGTTTGTGTGTATGTGCGCGCTCGCGCTTCCATGGCAAAACAAAGTGAAATAGAGAATACTGCCGCAGCCTCCCAGCACAGCGGCAGAGGTCAGTTTTCAGTAATAAATAAATGCTTTTCAGAGTGTACTGAAAATTGGGTCAGAAATGTCCATTGAAAGTGAAACAGGCAGGGTACGATTATATCTAAATTTATGAGTGTGTGTGTGTGTGTGTATGTGTATGTATAAACAAAGGCGTGTGTTTACGTGTGTGTTGTTTGTCTTCGCATGTGTGTAACAAGTATTCTATTATTTTCCCATCTTTTTATCTTTTTTTTTATCCATTATATATTAAAATGAGTTTTAGCAAACAGTTGTGAATTCTGGACAGTTAGTAAAGGAGCTTAAACAATCCCTTGAAGCATCACAGATATGGTTTTGCATTTGAGTGCTTACATTCTATTTTTCAGAACTATGATTTGTGGGGGTTTTTTCCAGGGTGTTTTGGAAGAGTCTGAAATCAAACATCTGAATTGAAATAGTCATCATTTTGGTCACAATAAAATGCAAAGAATAAAAAGAAAAAACGTGCAACAGTGGGAAAGATTTATGAAAAGGGAGGTAGAGAATAACAAACTAAAAGACAAAAATGCTTGACTTTAGTCATTGCCAGGAAAAAAAGGTGAGAACTAAGATATACTGTTGAAGATCACAAGATGTGTAGAAGTATAACTGCATGCGCTGTTTGGCAAAGCATTTTATTATATATATATATTTGTATGTGCGTGTATGTACGGTCTGATAATTAGTCACATTATCGTGGATTATTACTACTCGTATACTTGTCTTTTGTTTAGAAACGTAACAAATAAATTTTCAGTAATGTAAAACATTCACCAAAATATTTACTGTCGTTTCGTTAATTAGAACGTGACCTTGTAACATAACACCGTATCCGATGGTGTTGTCTGCCTCAATAAAAGTTGGATCCCAGCCTCATGATTGGCTCTGTCAGTTAGGAACAGTCCTGCCAGTAGATCCACGCTACTACTTGATTGGCCCGCTGCAACTGGGAATTGAGTGTTAGTATCGATTTCATTAAATATCTGACCCTACTGTGCTCTAGGGAGATCTGCGTTTGACCGGTTGCGTTGGATGGTCAGAGATGTTTTGGTTCTCTCGACTACAAGCACGATGTAACAAGGTGGAGCAGCAGCAAAAGGAGGAGGAGATGAAGTGGAATTGGTATGACTTCAAGAGAGTCTTATTCGAGACTTCTACCTCTGTTATCACCAGAGCAGCAATGGCAAACTACTGAAGGTAAACTTGCATAGTAAAACCACAAACAACCATACATCATGAGATTGTTTAACGATGTCCTGGAAAACGACTTCCTGTAACTGTTATCTCCAGAAGGGATATAGTCTGTTCTAATCTCACTTAGGTCACAGCCTACAAGAAATGCTATTAACAAAAGGCAGACAAATATTTTGAACACCTACATGGCACCTTGCCGCACTCAACAGTAAATGTTTAATTGTGAATAGGGTCGATTAGTTCGAGAGGGGTGGGTGGGGATGGAGGTCTCTTATGTGTGTCATGGCCGCTGAAGAGAGGTCGGGGACAGAGATAAGGGGCAGACAGGGAGGGTATTGATACAGACAAGGGGCAGACAGAGAGGGTAGGGACAGAGACAAGGGGCAGACAGAGAGGGTAGGGACAGAGACAAGGGGCAGACAGAGAGGGTAGGGATAGAGACAAAGGGCAGACAGAGAGGGTAGGGACATAGACAAAGGGCAGACAGAGAGGGTAGGGACATAGACAAAGGGCATACAGAGAGTGTAGAGTCAGAGACAAGCCCAGACAGAGAGGGTGAGGTAGAGACACGGCGCAGACAGAGAGGGTAGGGACATAGACAAGGGGCAGACAAAGAGGGTAGAGGCGGAGACAAGCGGCAGACAAAGAGGGTAGGGACAGAGACAAAGGGCAGACAGAGAGTGTAGGGACAGAGACAAGCCCAGACAGAGAGGGTGGGGTAGAGACAAGCGCAGACAGAAGGGGGTCGCAAGAACATAGCAATAATTTAATCAACGCAGATGTCATCTAAACATTTTTTAGATGTGGCCCCACACCATAGCCCAAGTCGGTGCTAGCTGCCCTGTGCACGTTTTAGCTGGAATAAGACTTACACAGCTTGCACTAAAGATGTCAACTGCCACACAATGACACAGCACAGACATGTTGGGAGATTGTGTTTCCTTTTTGAGATGTTGTCTCTAGCTTCATTCTAACGCCCTGTGAAAGTTGATTTGATTTCTCTACAGATGTTAGTATGCCCGTGTTGCATATTTTGCCTAGTTTTTTCCTGGCTCTGTATTCATTATATTTCTTCATCGGGGGTCACTGTGGTAGTTGGTACCAGTGCAATCTCTTCACACAGCTAAAGGATTTTGTCTCCTTCTCTTTAAGGAAGGGTGTGCTTGCCAGCTTCAGCCCTACACTTTTTAAAGTTTTCTTATAGCTAATTGTATCTGTTCTTGTTATTCATGCAGCTCTCCATAAATTTTCTATCTCCTTCTCCCCCCCCTCTCTCTCTCTCTCTCTCTCTCTCTCTCTCTCTCTGCTGTTATGATTGTCCGTTTATTTATTGTAAGAAAGGTTCAGTTCTGATATGCATAGGCCAATACAGTTAAAAATTATTAAACCTGATTTATAAACCTAATCTGTCTGTGCGCCTGGAATTACAAGGTTACCATTTCTTTGCGTAGGCCACATCCCATGGTAACTCCATGCAGTACTATTCTCTGCAGACCATAATGGTCTATTTGTACCTCCACACTGTTCACTGATTAACCTGAGTATTTTATGAATGTCTGTAGAATAATCATATCTACTAGCTGTCACACATGCTTGTCTTTCAAGACAAAAAATGCAATCAGACAGATTTTAGGATCAGCCTCACTATTTTGTTTAAAAAAGATCTTTTCCAAAATTTTCCTATAACCACACGGTAAGAACAAGTGACGATAAATGGAACTAACCCCTCCCCCCTCCCCTTTCCCCTTTTTTCCCCGTCCTTTCCCCTCTCCCGTGCCTCCTCCACCTTTGCCGCCCCCCCCCCTTCCCACCCCTCTACCGACCTAATATTTTATACCTAGGGACATGCACAGTATAGGATAGGCGTAACACTACACGCCACAATGGCAATAATTGCTAGGAGAATGCCATTGGCTGGTGATTCAAGTGTGTTGTTGTACCAGTCCATGGGACTGAGATCAAACATAACTGGTACCGTAACTGGGTCGTCATGAAACTATTGTTGTAACATTTACTCAGACTCTTATTCGCCCCCAAGGTGACTACACTTTTTTTTTTTTTAAAGTGAAGTGCAAATAAATCTTTATCTGCACAGTTGGTGGTGATCGCACTAACTAAACAGTTGATGGTGACTGCACTAACTAAACAGGTAATGGTGACCGCACTAACTAAACAGTTGATGGTGACTGCACTAACTAAACAGTTGATGGTGACCGCACTAACTAAACAGTTGATGGTGACCGCACTAACTAAACAGTTGATGGTGACTGCACTAACTAAACAGTTGATGGTGACCGCACTAACTAAACAGTTGATGGTGACCGCACTAACTAAACAGTTGATGGTGACTGCACTAACTAAACAGTTGATGGTGACTGCACTAACTAAACAGTTGATGGTGACTGCACTAACTAAACAGTTGATGGTGACTGCACTAACTAAACAGGTAATGGTGACCGCACTAACTAAACAGTTGATGGTGACCGCACTAACTAAACAGTTGATGGTGACTGCACTAACTAAACAGTTGATGGTGACTGCACTAACTAAACAGTTGATGGTGACTGCACTAACTAAACAGTTGATGGTGACTGCACTAACTAAACAGGTGATGGTGACCGCACTAACTAAACAGTTGATGGTGACTGCACTAACTAAACAGTTGATGGTGACCGCACTAACTAAACAGTTGATGGTGACTGCACTAACTAAACAGTTGATGGTGACCGCACTAACTAAACAGTTGATGGTGACTGCACTAACTAAACAGTTGATGGTGACTGCACTAACTAAACAGTTGATGGTGACTGCACTAACTAAACAGTTGATGGTGACTGCACTAACTAAACAGTTGATGGTGACTGCACTAACTTAACAGTTGATGGTGACTGCACTAACTAAACAGTTGATGGTGACTGCACTAACTAAACAGTTGATGGTGACTGCACTAACTAAACAGTTGATGGTGACTGCACTAACTAAACAGTTGATGGTGACCGCACTAACTAAACAGTTGATGGTGACTGCACTAACTAAACAGTTGATGGTGACTGCACTAACTAAACAGTTGATGGTGACTGCACTAACTAAACAGGTAATGGTGACCGCACTAACTAAACAGTTGATGGTGACCGCACTAACTAAACAGTTGATGGTGACCGCACTAACTAAACAGTTGATGGTGACTGCACTAACTAAACAGTTGATGGTGACTGCACTAACTAAACAGTTGATGGTGACTGCACTAACTAAACAGTTGATGGTGACTGCACTAACTAAACAGGTAATGGTGACCGCACTTACTAAACAGTTGATGGTGACTGCACTAACTAAACAGTTGATGGTGACTGCACTAACTAAACAGTTGATGGTGACCGCACTAACTAAACAGTTGATGGTGACCGCACTAACTAAACAGTTGATGGTGACTGCACTAACTAAACAGTTGATGGTGACTGCACTAACTAAACAGTTGATGGTGACTGCACTAACTAAACCGTTAATGGTGACCGCACTAACTAAACAGTTGATGGTGACTGCACTAACTAAACAGGTAATGGTGACCGCACTAACTAAACAGTTGATGGTGACTGCACTAACTAAACAGTTGATGGTGACTGCACTAACTAAACAGTTGATGGTGACTGCACTAACTAAACAGCCCTAAGTCGCCCCTGCTCTCTACTACCCTTGCTTTCGTTCTTCTTCTGCAAGCTCCCTTACAATGACACTGACACATTGTGTTGTCTTTTCCAGCTAGGCTACGATTACTTTCCTTTCAACCCAGCACACCCTTTCGAGCAAATCCTTTATTGGTTCTCCTTTCCCACGTGTTTAATGGGGCAGCGAAAAGGGGCCCGGGAAATCTCAGCACCTTTGAAAATGGTACACACAGACAGTAAAAACCATTTTCAATACAGTGTTGGTGTCTTTTGTCTTTAGATTGGATTGAAAGATACAGCAAATTCTTTAGCCTTGATTCTTCGATAGAGCATGGCCTCTCAACGAACTCTGTCCAAGTTGGCCAATTCCTTGCCAGTGCGCGCAGCTTATTCCTTTTCTTTCTGGTCTCATTCACTTTATTCTCCAGTTTTGTTCTCCTTGAGATTTTTTTTTTTTTTTTATCTTCCTCTATTTCTTCGACCTCGCGGATTCCAGTGCAAACAATTTTTGATTATATTGATTCTTTTATCAGCGTGTGTCCTATCCAACGCCAAAGTCTTTTCCTGGCTATTTGATCCACTAGGATGTATTATTCTGCCAAGTTAGTAAGCCGAGCAATTGCAGTATCACAAACACAAACATTGTTTAAGAGAAAAGAGAACAAATACTTCGTATCCCCTCTGGCCTCTTACAGTTAGCTTGCTCAGCCATTGAACAATCCAATCGTTCATTAGACACCTGGAAATAGGGAAATGCGGTAGTGCGTTCAGATCTGGTGCCCAATATAGATATGAGCAGCATCAGTTTGTCACGCTTGTACACAGCAGCATCAGTTTGTCACGCTTGTACACAGCAGCATCAGTTTGTCACGCTTGTACACAGCAGCATCAGTTTGTCTGTCTGAGGGCACGCACATTTAAAATAAACGTGCTATTTATTGTTTCATTAGCAGATTTTATGTTGTTGCGGGGCGCCATCCACGCCAATTAGCCTAACCCGTTTCCAATGTCATTCTTCTCAAATGCAGTAATAACATTTGAATAAACTTAAAAACGTGAGCGGACTTCAATATAGAGCCGGTTATGTTATAATGCGTGCGGAGATCACAAATAATACATGGATGAGAACTTCACACAAACGCTGTTGTTCTTTTGTCTCTAATTCAACCTTAAGAAGTGCACTTTAATAAGTAATATATTTCCTGTTTTCGTAGCGCCCGCTGTGTGAATGCTTCGTTTCTGGGACGTTGAAGGCGTAGGCGGCAAAGAAATACCAGTTGGCTGCGATACAGCAGGCCTTTAAATTATTTCAAATAAGAAATTAATGAGTTGATGCATATTTTTTTTCTATTCATTGTACAAATTTCATATTTTGGGCCGATGTAACTTCGTAGTATGTTTTATTGATCTCCCCCCCCCCCCCCCTTTTCCGAAGGGTCTATAGTAGATAGACTTCCCTATATAAGACAGCGTCCGCTGTCTCAATAACTTTCAGCTCGTTATTTTTATGAAACTAGGGGGATGGCCCCGTGTATAAGAGACTGTAGCGTGGTCATGTGACAGGAGTCAGAAAGGTAAGACTAGCTCTAGATACAGATAGCTTAGGCTAGTCTAGTTATTCTGTCGCACACACTACTATCAATAGATACATGAGCACCCAGAAAGATAAGTAATGAAAGGATGAGAAAGGTATCTTTCAAACACTTTCTCTCCAAGCCCACTCTCACCGTAGTAAACGAGACAAGACGAGGCGGATAAACAGTTGGATAGCATACAATGTTATATGTTCTATTATAACACGTGACAGGCAAAACAAAACAAAATATTTCTTCCTCGGTGAGTCTGTTGGCGTAGGCAAATTCAGGCTCATGGGGCAACACAGTCACCTGATGATTTTTGGTAGTGGGACGGCTTTGGTGATCCGGTCTGTCGTCTGGCTGCTCATCACGAGTTGGAAATATATCCAAGGTTTTGGTGCCGGAAAATTGTCAATAGGCCAAAGCCGTTAAAATTCCTCACAGAGTGGTTAAACGTTAACAGTGTCTTTAAAGTCCCTGCTGGACTTGCTAGAAAAAGCAGCTTGCCATCCAGTGGCTTACACTAAACTGGTGTAGATCATTTTTTCCACTTCGTTGTCGATGGGACGTGACACACCCGGGCCCCTTTTCTAAATATTAAACACCCTTAAAATCGCATGATTGCATCTGATGTTACAGGCTAGCGAATCTCCGAAATGTTTACGACTGCACGTTCGGCGGACTAGAATTGAAAGGACCGGAAGTGAGTTTTCCTGACCTACGTAGGTTTCAGGTATTGGGATCCTGGGGAGCTTCATCCGGTGCGCATGACGTCGTTTCTAAATCGGGCCACGTCCGGCTGTATATTCATATGCAACAATACCCTCTCAGAATTAAAGAGTTAGCACTGATATTTCTTTACTTTTGCTGGAGCAACTTTTGGTTTAAATCTAAACGTTATTGATGTTTATGTTCATGTTGACTGTAGCAAAAGCAGTTTTGTTTGTCTGTAAGAGCCTTTATTGTTATATTTAATTGGCACACTTATTTACCTTAAAAATGACGTATAGTTCTATAAAATATGTAGAAAATTAATGAAACTAATTTAATTTGTGTATACATCTCCTCGATAAAAACTGCTAACACAGAGGGACTCAATTCTTGCACAAGAACGGGAATCCCTGTTGACCCAGTTGGCCTGTTTATATCTAGAGTTGGAAGTGATCGGGCCTAGGCACGGACATCATCATCATGTGGTTTCCCCCTACATCGTGACTACAGTTGCTCTGACGGCATTACTGTGTTCCCTCTAGTATGCTGAAATTGTAAATTCCCCCATTGGTATAAAAGGTAAAGTCGGGAGATATGAACCAGCAACATTGCACACGGTTAAAAACCATACGTGCTCTGCGACCAGTATGGACAGCTGATAAGAATTTTCCGCCTCTGTCGCCGTTCGCACGTAACTCTGTAGCTACAGCGACGTTCCTCCATTTACCCAGAGTGTCAACTCTGGTACCCACTTCATAGAAGCTGGGTGAATCCCTGGAGCCGCCCGGTTTCGAACACCGAACATGGGCTGCAGCGAGTCGCAGCTGGATTTGAAAGTGATCTTCTTATCGACTGCGCTAACGCGGCCCCTCCCCATTGGTATGTTCACTGATACCAAGCTTAGAACGGCGGTCCTTAGATTATGACGTTCATACTAGGTCATTTCATAGACGCTAGTCCGATCTGTAATGCGTACTGCATTCGCGTATATAACTATGACGTCTATGGCTTGCATGCACTGCCGATAATTCTGTGTACTTGAGTAGGATCAAGCTATGTCTCCCTTGAGAGAGTGGTACTTCATGGTGTGCCATTTCTAACACCCCGTCTATCTGTATTCTTTTGCACGAGCGAGACGCAGTGTAGTTTACGCCACTGTCGACTAAAGATATCATCGTCATCATCAGTTCTTGTTATGCCTAGTGGCACATGAGGCTTCAGAGAGGACTTTTCATGCTTTTCTGTCCTGTGCAATCTTCAGTGCAGTTTTCCATGTCAAAGATGCCGCACTCAGGTCACTTTCCCTCGTTCAATTCTTAATTTGGTTTTGACATCCAGCAGACTTGTTTTCTCATCATGGGCTTCCTTTCGGCTTTCACCCATGTTGTTCATGCTGACAGAGGGACTCTGTCCCAAGACCACCGGACGTTTAGAGCACTTATTTCCTCTTGAAGTTTCAGTAACGTTGTAGATTTTTTACAGGGCAGAGCTGTCAACACTGCGCCCAACCCCCGAGCCTGGAGGACCGGGAGGCCATCTTTATATATAGTATACAATAAATCGGGAGAACGGGGCGACGCCTAGCAGAAAGGTTCAGGCAACATCTTTCAGATGTGGAAAACGGTGCGCTCAAACTAGTGCCGGTGCATTTCAATCCTTGTGGACACCAAGATGTCTTCAACATAAACTTTACGGCCATCAAGTCTAGACACTCTCTAAGTCTCAAGAGGACCAGGTTGGTTATCACATGGGCTCTAACTTACCGGAGGGACCTAATGTCCAATACATCTTTCTCGCATACCTGTGCGTGTCGTCAGACATCTTGTCTGCAGCATGCCAACAGATCACACAAGTCAGGAAAGAAATGGCTTCCAACACGAATTGTTTACCTCTTCATAATCAACGTTTCCTCACATTCCAACCTA